TGTATCGAACCAGTGCTGCTATACTCCCAGACAAGTCTGGTACCAATTTGCCGTTCCCGGAGGGATGGAAGGCTCGGTGGTCCAAAGGCGTGGAATCGATCCCATGTGTATCGCACGGGTCTCCCGACCACTGCCCTCCAAACGCCTTTCACGTAATTATAGCTAAGAAAAATGGGAAAGCACCGAAATTGGTCGCATAATTTCAATGACGTTCTATTGCAAATTTCCTTTCCTTTGTAAATTGTGTTTATGAATTTAAAGTGTTTTCTAGATTGAATAACTATGAACGATCAAATAATTGTAGAAAAAGCATTGTTAAATGACAAGTTCCCATCAGATGCTCATCCCCGGTGGTAAGCGGCAGATTAGTTGGAATCCTCCTACGATCTTCGTGGAATGCCGAGGAGAACGAAAAGATCACACCGAGGTACGAGGAGTAAGCTAATTTTTTTTCACGCACAATGTGCACTGAAATCGACGCGCACCGTCCATCATGCCCGAACGTGTGTTTTGAAATCTATTGGCGATATCTCAGATGTGTTGATACACAACGGCGTGGACTGATTCCAACTCACACGTGGAAAGTGGTTGCGCTCTACAAGTTTATTACCATTTATTTTCTAATAAATTGTTTACTTTGCCACAAGGTGCCTTTCTTTCGTATTCTTTGTACGCAACGGTCAAGGAGAAGCTATTTCCTGCATGTTATGAACTAAACAAGGAAAGCAAAACAATACGATATAAACACAAACATTTGTTGCTTTGACTTGATCGTGGTCAGGTATAATAAATTTATTTTGGAGCTAGCAGTTTCTACATCGACAATTCTTGTTCAGTGGAAGACCACCAAGACCGTGCCATTGTTCAAGAAGGGTGACCTCTACGATATCGGCAACTATCACCCGTCGTCTACAAACTTCTAAAATCCTAAATAGGATCAAGAGAACACTGGAGGAAGGACAGCTGTGTATAAGCAGCGTTTCGAAAAGGATTCAGTAAGACTGATGTAGACAGGCGATAAAAGATCATCTTAGAGAGAGAAGAGCAACAGTTATGATCGAAGCCGCAGAAGCTGGGAAAAGCAATAGCAAAGCCTACCGAAGCTTCGCCAATTACGAGACTAAGATTATTGCACTCCGACGTGCAGACGGAACAGTTACAGCGTCCAGAAAGGCAATGGAGGAAATCATTCACGAATACCACTTAGATCTCTTAGATAGCCAAGTCCGCCTTCCGTTATATGAAATAAAAGACAATGGATATGTTGCACCACCGATTCTCCCTTCCGAAATCAGACATGCCATTCCGTCGATGAAAAATCGAACAGCACCAGGTCCAGACAGGATAAGACCAGAACACTTGAAAAACTTTCCTCCAGTCCTCGTAAAGACACTGGTTCGGCTGCTACGCGTTACCTACTTAAATTCAAGGTGCCTGCTCAAAGGTAGACCACCAAGATCGTGCTAATGATCAAGAAGGTTGACCTCCACGATATCGGCAACTATCACCCAATCTGCTTGCTATCTGTCGTGTACAATCTCTTCACTAGAGTCATCCTAAACAGGATTGACAGAACACTAGACGAAGGGCAACCATGTGAGCAAGCAGTGTTTCAAGAAGGATTTAGTACGATGGAGCACGTTTGCACGATCACAAGACTCGTTGAACTATCGCGAGAGTAAAGAAGACCGCTCAATTTCACTTTCAGCGGTTTAAAGAAGACTTTTGACTCAGCTGAGACAGAAGCAGTCATGGAAGCCTGGACAGCCACCGAGTCTTTACTTGTCACATAAAGATCCTTCGTGAGCTTTACAAAAATTTCACAACCAAGACAGCATCATTCTACAATGATATTATCATTGATGTTAAAAGAGGGGTTAAGCAAGGCGATACCATCTCACTAAAATTATTTACTGCCAACTTCGAGAACGTCACGCGAATATTGGAATGGGACAACATAGGGGTGGAAATCGACGATAGGCAATTACACCATCTTCGCTTTGCTCATGACGTCGTTCTTATAACAACAAGCATTAGCCAAACAGGACAAATGCTCGCCGATTTGATAAAGCCTGCGGAAAGATTGGTCTTCGACTAAATCTTACAAAAATGATGTTCATGAGGAGCGGATTGGTTACGCATGCCCCATTCACGCTGAACGAAATGAAGATCTCCGAACGCTCCAGTTACGTCCATCTAGGTCGGGAAATCAACATGATGAGCGACTTAGCTCCGGAGTAGAGCAGAAGGAAAGGAGAGGCTTACGGGGCTTTTAAGAGCAGCGAGGATGTAGTGAAGAGAACAAAGAACACCAGACTCCATGCCGACCTTTTCGGCTCCACGGTACTTCCTGCCTTAACATATGCATCGGAAACCTGGTCGTTGAATAAACAGGATGAAAGATCACTCAGCGTTATTGAACGCTCAATCTAGAGGACAATACTGGGAGTATTCCGTGTCACGCAAATAAGGGAAGGGATCCAAAGCTCCAACCTCCGTTAACAATCAAAAATCAAAGATGCTGTTCTATGCGCCAAACTGTGGAAGACAAGATGAGCCAAACACGTAATGCATATGAACGACAACCGATGAGCAAGAGCCGTTAGTGACTGGATTCGTTGGGATGTTGAACATACTGCAGGAAGATCACCGATCCTATGGTCAGAACTCCCGACGAAAATCCTAGAAGAGAGGTGTTATGCTCAACGAGTCCGTTGAGCGAATAGAGCACACTGGGCTATTCGCGCACGGGACAGGTAAAAATGGAACATTTACTGAAGCCCCTTAGAGTTATTCGACAACAGTGGACTATAGGTGAGACAGGTGATTATTATATTTATGCATATGTGTGTATATAAGCTTGACTGAAGTTTCAGTGATCACTCAACAGTGGTAATCTAACATTTCCCGTTTCAACGAAAACCGAAGAATATTTTCAACTCTCAGAGAGTTGTCGGCTTTCACGACTGGTCTTCTTTTCCGTATCTTTTCATATTAGAAACGTAAAGGTGTGCACGTTTTGTGCATCCATCCAGACGTTATAGATGGACTCAACCTGGGTGTGCAACACGTTGTCCGGCCACACTTCTTGACAATAATTTTGAAACTGATTCCCATTTAACTTCGGTACTATAATAATCAACACTTGTTTGTACTGTTGAGGTTGATACGAGATGTTTATTCGGATAATGTTTCGACGTCTTCGTCTTCATCAGAGCCGACGATCCTTGTCGATAGTCCACAGTTGTTGATGTTCTCGATGTGGCGTCTTAATCTCGCATCGATCCGGATCTTTCCAAGTTGAGCATCTCGTATGATCCATACTCTGCCGGCGACGTTCTTTTATACAGAGCGGTTGTTGTTGATATGATTATCCGTTGATAATAACTTGTTTCTCAACTGATAATCCACTCTGCAGCAGTCGGTATTTTGTCAGCAAGAACATGGCGAATAGCAAAACAATAATTTTCAAACGGACTGTCATTTAACCGCGCTACTATAAGAATCAACACTTGTTTATATTGTTGAGCTTATAAGAGATTGATAGAGATGTTTATTCGGCTAACTCTTCTTGACGTCATCATCACCGCCTTTGTCCTCTTTCTCCGACTCACCTTCTTACTCTTCGTTGGTGAGCGAACATCTATCATCGTAGTCCGCAGTGTCTTCGCTGTATTACTGTTCGCCCTCAATGAGCATCCAATTCGTCATCTGTGAAACATAATTCGGGGCTATAGAAATTCAATTTTTGATTAATAATGCTCAATCAGGATGATAAACGATAGACTTTATTACAACCAGAAGAAAAGATAGTGATTTTTTCGGAACGGACCGCAGAGCGTCACTCACATCATCATAGTAATTCGTGAGACAGAAGAAAAGAAAGAGCAGAAGGGAGCGTTCGAGAGATGTTGGTAATCTTATAAGCCAACCAGTACCTTATATACTGCTTAAAGGGACCTGGGTATTTATCTTTATGTAGGACAACGATTTCTGCTTATTCCTTTAAACCGTTAAATTGTGAAATAACTGATTGCTCTTTGCTTTGAAGTAGCGGCGTTTTGTCGGGGTTATATCGTGAAACAGGTGAGTATAAAATATATACATACACAAAAAGTGGCTAAATGTGTCTGACATATATTGTGAAAAGGGCTACCCAAGGCTGTTGGCACCGTAGCTGGGGCTGGACGACTTTTATGTGAGAGAAGACAAGAGATGTAAGTGTTTCAGAAACAGTGAATAGTAAATGAACGACACTGAAATTACTTGGAGATAAATTTAACTGCTGAGCAAAAAGTACGGAGGAAAGGGCGAGTCTGATTTTCGGCGGGAAGCATTATGGCCGATTTGAGATGTCTTCAATTTATATCGCGTAAGGCGAATAGTTCACAAACTATGTATTGCCTGGAATGTGATAACAAGAATGTAGTCGCTATAGTCAACATAATAACTCGCCTTTCGATAAACAGATATACTGAGAGACCAGCAGGACATCAAACAAGGCATTACGCGGCTAACAAGAATTTGTGGCCGGCTTCGGATTGCTGTGAGAATCACGTTCACCAGTTACGATGCTTGCGGTGGCATAACCAAATAAACCATCTCAATAACGTTGGAAAAGCTGATTTAGCAAAATTTGGCCTCAAATAATTGAACTGGATCGCTAAATTAGGTACGTAGGTTATCTTGCTATTAGTGTTCCTCTGACTCGTCGATTGGTATTTCCAGATAGCGCTCGGCTCCTTTGAAGTGGCACCTGTCGTAATCTGTGCAGCAACGGACTCGCGAGCAAAACCCGGTTGGCACACACTTACTTTCCAGAAGGGCAGAACCAGGTTGGAATAATCTGTTATCCACCACGAGAAGTTTTTTTTAAGTAGAATAAACGAATAACGGCTTTCGTCTATGGATTCAGTAGTTTTTATAAATACAACATTTGGAAGAAAAAACGTTCTTATGAGTGATCAAAGGAACGACTTGGCGAAGAACATCAGCAAAGAATCGTTAAGAGTTCTGCAGTTGTAACAAAGACTGAGAAGCGGATAGACGGTAGTATATAGTGTTAAATGTTGTCAAGGCTTTCACTTTAGAGGCGCGATACTTGCGTGCTTTGAGCTGTTCTGTGATGACACAACTATGAATGACGTTCTACCTTTGCTACCGATGAGGAAACATGCGAGGTGAGATGTCTCGTCATTGTTCTAGATGAATGCGAAGAATTTAAACACAAGAAGCAGAGTGGAAAACGCTATCTTAAAAGAGTTATACATACCAGTACTGCGTTGGAAGCGTTATCGAACTTGTTGTTTTCAGCGATCGCTTTGAAGTACCCGGAGAGCTGAGACCCAAATTCCAAAACTATGCTGTGCAGATTCTCTGTTGGGGGCTTCGGAATCTAAAGAAATATCAGGTGGCTTTGAGGAGCATTGGAAAGAAAACAGCAAAACTTACGGAGGATGTGCGAAACGATGCAAAAATGCTTCATGAACATCATCATAGTTTATTCGTTATTGCCCAGTTTCAGTTTTTGTCCATAAGAAAACCATTTCTTGAACTGATCATCGGCGATGTGGAAGCACAAACGGATCCCATTCCGAATTTGGTCAAAGATCCAAACTTTGAGACACCTTTAATTACCTTCACTCAGGTGAGACATGTATTTCCATCAACGAGTGAACACTCGTTTAGCTCAAAGAGCCTTTTGACTCCATACTCATCTGTTTTCGTCAATTTTCGTGATCTGTAGCTTGTCTAAAGCCTTTATACTTTTCAGGTCTCGCTACCATCCGATCTTGAATTTAGTCCTCCGCTCGTCATCAACCTGTACGACACGAGGGCGTTCAAGCGACGGCCACTGGTCGGAGTGTGTCACATAACGGATTTCAACAAATACACCAAAGCTGTTTCAAAGAAGGTGAATTTTTTCTATAAAAGTAGGCATGACAAGAGAAAACATCGAGGTCACTTTCCAGTATTTTCTAACCAGTTTTGTTTACGGTTACTTCCATAGTTTTATCTTTTGTAACTGAATTTTCCCTTAACATATCCAATCCTTGTTTCTAATTTTTATGGATGGTTTTCTAGACATCGTTGACTTACCATATTTTCTTGCCATGGTGGCTCATGCGCGCGTGTGGCACAGTGGTCGGACGAGCCCTGCAACACAAACACATGGTATCGGTCCCCGCGCCCATGGCTCATCCAGCCTTCCATCCTTACGGTGTCGGCAAATTGGTACCAGACTTGTTTGGAAGGAAAGCAACACTGGTTCGATACATCGGTAGGACACCGCGAGTCATTGTAAAGGCCAGATATGCATTCAATCACTTCTAAACGATGCTTAATGAAGTGGAATGCATGGCACATCTGTATGGGATTGATCAACGCCGGCAGCTTTATCCTTCATCCTTTCATGTTGCTCATCTTCGTGATTCATGCAGTGCTCATTACTGTTTTTATTTGATTCTTTTCTTTCGTCTATGTTTCACAGATGGTCGTTGTCATCGTACAGGGTAACATACACACAGATTATATCCATCTGCGAGTATGTTTTATTTGTGTGAGCTACAAACACACCTGGTCACTTAGTAGGTAGTTGTTCTAAAGGCCACTTTCATCCTCTCGGCATTCACAGTAACGTTCTTGTCCAACTGGCACCAATTTTCCTTTTCACATGACGGCGTGTCTAACCCTTTCCTAAGCCTTATAGTCGTTGAATCGGAAGAAGAAACAGTTTTTGATGACATGATCTGAGTAGTCCATCTCATGTCCTTTGTGTCGTGTGTATTTCAGAGGACTTTACTCATTGACTTTGAACGTGATGTGTAAAATTTTCGACGTCTTTAGTTCTCGATGGCACAAGTGCGTAGCAGAGCGCCGTAAAGATTGTTGAGTCAAAAAGCTATGCGCATTTTTGTGCCTATCATTTGGATAACATGCTTGAATAGTATTTCAATACATTATTCCTTCTCTCTATATTTCTACGTTGTCGTTAACGTTGTTTGTTGAGTAACCTTCTGCACGTAGGTTTGGTAATCGGAGAAGAGCCTCGTCCTTCATGATACATTGGATATTTCAGGAATATTTGACGTTTTTCGATTCATTTAAGTCCTGGTCCTTTCACCAGTTTAGTGGACTATTTAACCATCGGCTATATTTCATCTATAGTTCTAGAGAAGATGATGATGATGTCGATGGATTCAAAGCTTGATAGGAATTTTCCATTAGTACGTACTCCATTTACTTTCCAACCGAGTAACTTCGTTATCTACTACATTGCTGCGGTGAACAGCTTTTCATGAGACGGCGGTGTTCTGTCGAGCTCAATGATGGCAGCCAGCCAGAGTTTCTAGGTTGGACATGCTTTTTGACGACGGACGCTTCACCACTATATTCCTTTTTTAAGGTGTTAAAGCTTTTTCATAGTCGTTAACGCAAACCAGGATAAGACAAAAATGGCTGTCCAAATGAACTTCAATTACCTTACTTTTGACTGGAATGTAATCCATGAAGTTGGAAGGTCTTCGAAATCGTGCTTGTGGAATTTGTGTTGCTTTTAAAAATATTTCTTGATGTACACGATTAAATCCCTGATGAACTCGTAGACAGCACTCAACAATGAAACTAGGTGGTTGATGCGGAGATCTGTTCGACCACCTTTCATGAATAGGATGGCCTTTCGCGTGATCCTTCGCTGTGAATTTCTAATTGAAGGCATGGCGTCGAAAAATGTATTTGCGTAGTGCGAGATTCCTAGAACGGGGTCCATTGGTTGTGGTGGTGCTCAGGTTTGGAGTGGATCTACGTGATTCTGGCTGGGATTCGAAGTTCAGAGGGAGGAATACATGATGATATTTCGAGATTCATTGTGCCTAGAGGGAAGTATATGAGTGGAAAAGGATGAAATATAGGCTTTATGTTATCAACTGCGTATCATGGGGAAAGTGGTGAGATTCTTGTCTTTGTTGGGTGTAGCTCAGTGGATGTTATTTTCCGTCTATAGGATATACGCCTGGACACCTAAATCTTTTCCACTTCTTCTCGATTTGTGAGCCATGAAAGATTCCATTCAGAAAGCAGGAATAGTTCTTCAACTTGTAAATCAATAGTGTTTACTTTTTTTCCTCGACCCGTTTTCACAATTACTATGCAGATATCAGCACTTCTATTCCATTCGGTTACTGGCGTACATCATCCACGAATATTTTCGAACTTTTCGCATGTGGGCTCGGTTAATGGTTGAGGATTATCGTCTTCTTTATGGATGCCGCTGAGTGCTTGTCGAGCCGATTTTTCATGGAGTCAAGGGTGGTCGGGTTAGAGTTTTCTCACTTGGATTGAAAGGAGTGAAATGATCCCAGACAAGTCTAGTACCAATTTTCCAACCAAGAAGAGACGAGAGGCTTGATGCGCCCTTAACAGGAACAAACCAGCAATGTTTACATAGAAGAGGTAATGGTCAGATCCAGCATTGAAAGTTTTAACTACGAGGGTCTGATCAATATCCGTATCACATGTGCCATTATGGATTCCGATGTTCACGGCCGCTTTTCTTTCTTCCGAAAAGTAGATTTCTGAGGAAGTAGGGGGTCGTAAGTAGGAACCCTGCTAGATTTTATACTTCGCAAGACTTTGTTTTTGAACGGGCTATTCATAACAGGTTTGAGGTCATCCACAAACAATTTATTAGACTTTTCACGACAAATAATTTCGGCTGTAATTTACCCTCTTCAACTGCGTGGGTGTAACGGGATCCCGTGTTGCTTGAGGCAACAGGTAACAAAGGAGTGTATGACAAAAATAGTTAAGGTACTTTGCGACAAGTTTTTTAAGTGGACTCTTTACTTAGCTTAGACATAGAAATACCGAATTTACAATGACGGTGGAAACTGTTGGCAAAGTTGAATGTTATGGGATTCCAGAAAGATGTAGCGGCGCTAACTGACTGGACAGAGTTTGACAAGGCGGTCGATAAAGAGTACGAGGCTTTATTGGCTGCTCCATTGATCCCATCACTTCGGAAAGAAGGAATGCCAAATATCGACTGGTGGAGCAAGTACTACGCTTCGGGAGGGCATCCTGAGAAGGCACCAGGATTTGAAGAGTGACTCATTCACGAGTGTTCATTTGTGAAGTGGATATCCTGTCTTCTGGAGATTGTATAAAGTAATTTCTCTATAGGTCAGGAATGGAATATTTGAACATCTTTAATGAGGAACTTGAGTGCGTGAATGGATACAATGGATTCGAAGATTTCCTTGATACCTTCACGTTTATGAAGAGTTCAAAAGTCAGTGATGCTTTTTCTTTACTAGTTTTTGGTTGGTCTTCGATTTCTTTCGAATGAATTAACCTTACATAAACTTTTTACGAGATAAAATACACATCTTCGCTGTTCAGGGGAATTTCGACGACCCCGAAGAAAAGGAAAAAGCTGGCGAGCTCAAAGGAAAAGTTTTCATAACGAAGATCACCGATAAAGAAAGTGATGCTGGTGAATGATAAAAATCATTTACAATGAGCTTTCAGAGGAGAAGCATATCGCATTAGAATTATCGTAACTCAACTTTTTCCTCACTGTCTCCCAAAGTTGTCATGTGGACAATGGTTGCTTCGAGGTTTCTGGATGGAGTAGTTTTTTAACACGAACCTTTCTTGAAAAAAATTTCATTTCCCTCTTCCCAAAAAAGGGGATGGAATAGGTACTTGTTTGTTCATGAGTTGTTCAAAAATGTCCGCTTCTTATTCTTCTTCCGGCTGGCAAATAAGTGAAAAATGCGTCGTTTTCTTGTTCAGCAATCGCGAGGTTTTTAAACAGCATACATTTACTTCCATAGAAAAACATAATACAATGCAACACTAACTGACGATTCGGCAGTATCGCCTTCTTCAGAGCCGCTTTTCGTGACTTCCAATGAGGAAGTTTAGAACAGCCGATTATAGTCGCATATGGTTGACGACTGTTTAAAAACATCGCGATTGCTGAACAAGAAAACGACGCATTCGTATTCCAATGCCGAGGTTAATAGAAAGTCGATCCTGGAAACTATTACAAGTGAAAAATATTCATTAAGCTTAAACGATTTCTGCATTCCTTAGGAAAAACTAGACATTTATTGTGCTCTGAGCACAATTTTCAAGAAAAGAAGGTTGGATGGATTTCACAGCTCTGTGCGGCGGTTCTCAATGTAAAAGCGTGGACAACAGTGCGTGTTCGTTCCCCACCGCGTACACCTGCGGTCCGGAGTTTTGCAAATGTCTCAGCATTATATACGGATTCTCAATATAGTTCATTCTTCCAACAAGTTTTAATCCGTTATGATTCGGAGAGGGCGCGTGTGTCTTTGTGGTCGGAGGCACCCTGCAACACACACGCGGAAACGATCCCCGCGCTCATGGCTCACCAAGCCAACCAGCCCTCCGGGGTCAGCAAATTGGTACCAGACTTGTCTGAGAGGTTAGCAGCACTAGCTCGATGCATCGGTAGACCACCGCGAGTCATTGTAAATGTCAGATATGTATTCAATCGCCTACAACGGTGCCTAATGAAGTCAAATGCATGGCGCATCTTTCAGGGATAGAACGACGCCGAGAGCTTATCCTTTCTTATGATGTGGAGATGTGATATAACGACGTTCTGCCTAACCTTTATGTACTGTTGTTCGTCGATGAACACGAACACATGCCTTATGTGATTTCATTCACCAAATTATCCGTATTACAGTACTTCTCGACCCACCAGGTGTTGAATTCGTCGGTACAGTGAAGTGCCTTCTACGAGTATACGTTGTCGAAGCGAAGAGATTGGTCTCGTTGCGTAAGAATGGCATGTGTGATCCGTACATTATTGTTAGGTGTGGCAAGCAAATGGTGAGAGGCACCCATATTTCAGATTGACTATTATTACGAAGTAGCACCAAATCTGTTCAGGTGAGTCTAAAGAAAAACTATCGTCCCGACACATTAGAACCGATTTTTGGTGAGCGCGTCGAAATGGAGATTACCATTCCACTGGAGAAAGATCTTGTGATTACAGTAATGGATCGAAGAAAGCTTATTGCCGGTGAGTTCGCGCTCAAATTCGAAGGATTACTGGTGCAGGTGCAAAGGTGTTTTTTGTAATAAACATACCTCCATACTCAGAATTTCTTCATCGACTTTATATTTGTTGGAACTTTTATCTCTTATTCCTCTTAGCTGTTTACCCCCTCATCGTCGCTGGGAGGTGTTTTTGAATGTCGGACTGCGAGGTACAGTGGAAGGATTAATCTCCAAGCAAGGTCTCCCAAGTTGGGAAGAAGTGCTACGTTTCCATCTGAAAGCCCAGCTAAGATAAACTAATACCAAGATCCACCACCGCCCTGGTATCAAACTAGTCGCATGAGAGCAGCAGATTTACGTCTAATCCACAAGGGCTGTGACTACTAGTAGCGGTGACGACCAGAGGCAGACTTTGGTCATGCTGACTTCGGGTCTGCAAGGAACGGCAATGGCTATACCAGCAAAACTCTGAAAACTGGATGTTGTGTTGGGGCCCGCACAACCAGTGAGGACAGGCCGTCCAAGTATCCAAGTATCTTTTATGATAACTTCTGCTCTTATCTAGCAAGGTTTTCGCATTTCACACCATTTCTAAGCAGAAGCTGCTTTTTCAGAAGCTAAAGCGAATAAATTTTCACTGTATATGAATACTGTAACCTTTTAATTATGGTTTTATCGTTACTGTTCAAGTAGTGGATTTCTTCGCCTAGTTTATTTAGATGACGAGATCGGTTCCACACGTATCGACCTGGAAAATCGACTCTTGTCAAAGTGGAGGGCAACGGTCGGTCTCAGCAAGCAGTACACAATCCAAGGAGAGCTGCAGTGGAGGGATCAGCAAGCTCCATTGGCAACACTTAGAGGGTGCATGGAGAATCTTATAAACAAGTAATTGAAAATAATCGCGGTAGTCTGTCTATACGGGAAGAACATAAAGGGGTCTTTTTGTAACGTAGAGGCAGTTAAGGGAGAAAGAAAAATGGTGCAAGGACGTACTCGTCGTCATACTTTTTCTCTTCAGATCTACTTTCTCTCTTTTAGTATTTCACAAAGTCTCCACATCCATGCCGTACGAAATTCCTTCATCTAGGTACTGCAAGAAAATGCGCGTTCCGGCACCGAGCATCATCGAAAAGGAAGGCGATGTTGGCATCAAAATGCTAGGAATCGAAATGTGGTATTCGCAAGTGAAGAACGAATTGGAAGCGTATGTGCCATAAGTTTGCTACCACCCCAATTTGACCTAAAGTCCGATCGTGTTGCTGGTATTTCAATGCTTCTGATCACTTTTCTATGAAACTCGCTCATGTCGCGCATCAAATGTATGACAGTCCTTCCTATTGCTACTTCCACTCTATCAAACCGTATCGCATAACCTCAAGAACCTGACGTCAACAGATCTTTCGAATATAACAGAAAAAAATTATTCCGGAAAATAGAAGGCATAGAGGAATGCAAAGCAAGGGCCTTAGTGGTGCAGTGGGTAACACGCAAGCCTCCGGAAAGAGTAATTGCGGTTTCAAATCTGATCAGAGGTCCAAGTTTTGCAAATATCTCAGCATCATTAGTGGTTGTTTTTCGAATAGTTTTTGTTGGCATTTTGCCAATGTTATACCTTCCGATGGATCATTTGTGTACCCCTAGGAAAAACTGCTCGTAGCTATAGTTCTCCATGTGTCGCGCGTTCCAGATGAGCGTCATGGAGTTTGTTTTGAACGAGAAATATAGCCCTAATATGGAACAATTATTCTCTTCCAAACAGTGCACATTTCAAATGCAACGATAATGCACAACCTGTTCCTAAGCTGTATAATATGCCAAGGTTGGGGGTGACTATTTTCTTCCCGCTTTCATCTTCCTCTCAACCATAGCCAAGTGGCTTTACCACTAATTAAATTTTAGTTAAGTTCAAATAGCCGAAAATGAATGCTTTTGCTGAATAATACTCGATGGTAAAACTAGCTGAGAGAAACGTTGAACAAGGGCCTCCGTGGTAGAGTGTGTAGTATGCGAGGCCCAGGGAAGGGAAATCGTGGTTCGATCTGGCCTGGCGTCCAAGTTTTGCGGATATCTCAGCATCGTTATGGCTGATTTTTCATAATGCTCTGTCATGAAAATTTTAGTAGGCAGTAAATAAAAAAATGCTGAATCACTTTTCTCCTCGCACAACAAAATTGGACGCTCTCATTAGCTTTATGGAACTATTGAATCAATTCGCTTTAATTCAGTAGCTGTTGGATGTAAATTGAGAATAACGAGCTTCTCACTTAGATTCCAGGCGCGTGATCTATGAAGAATTTATTGATAATTCGACACTCCGATGACTCTTCATTATGAGTTGAGCATGCTGTAGCAGCAGTTTCATCCGTCTTTCCTTCTTCGGGTAGAATTCGACTCCAGGGCATTTCCAGCTCGTTTCGAACACCTTTTACCTGGTCCTTTGAAAGTACGGGATATTTGTCACCTCGTTGTCAGGTGTCCTTCAGGTTGGCGACGATTTACCGTATAAATTTATTCTTAACTTGTATCGCCTACAGAAACATTGAACTTCTTTTCGACTTGAGTTGTAGAGCTCATGAAATGATTCTCCATCCGTACGATTTAATATATAGGAATGATAAACGCCACGTTGAGGCGGAAACCATAGACAAATTTGCTCAAGAACAATAAAAACATTGGCTTTAGGGAGAAACTTAGGAGATTCTCCACTATACAAATTTTTAAATAAATTGTCAACATGAGTATCAAATGCTTGGTGATGTTATGATAGTATCTCTAGTTTTCACTGACAGAAAGGTATTGAACAGTCGCTTACAGATTTCATTTTGTTTTTCTTGTACACAAATCGTTGATGTGCATATAATTCGTTACTTGGAGGGCCCATCCTCAGTGGTTGTGCAGGCCCCAGAACAATCCCTATTTTTTTCGGAGTTTTACTGGTTTAGCCGCTGTGGTTTCCTGAAGTTCCGAGGTTACCCAGGCCAAGGTCTGGCCCAGGTCGTCACCACCACAGGTAGTCTCCGCCCTTGTAGATCGGAGGGAAATCTGCCCCCATGCGACTAGTTTGATACCGGAACGGTGACGGATCTTGGTATTGGCTTACTCTTAGCTGGGCTTCCTTATCCAAATGTCTGACGACACTCAGGAACACCTCCCAACCACAATGAGGCAGTTAATCGTTGGAAGGATGTAGTGTATATTGTATGCATTATTGTTACTTTATCAACGGGAGTACGGGTGATACAGGTGATTGCTACTTAATTCTTTGAAATGGGCTTTTTATTGGAGATATTTGGTCTCTAATGAGGAGCCTTTAGAAACGATAAAGCGGTTTGCAATCTACGCTCAGCAGCTGGAAAGGATGATAGCAATCATGAAGAAAAAGAGGCCGAGGAGAAGGACGTCTGTGTATTTTGTGCTTTGGTTACCTTTAATTTACATGCCTTTTGTCGAGCTTCTAGCCTCCTTCGGTTATATCGTAAAATTCTTCGAAGCGTTGCAGGAGGATGATAAACATGACGAATCAGTGCAGAAGTGGCAGCGAGCCGATGAGGTCAGGATAAAAATGGCTTCGATTGCTCAGCATGGCGAGAAGATAAAAGATGTGGTATGAGCCTATAATGATATAAAAACTCGTGTATAATTTCGTTTTTGGGTATTGTCATTTTGAGGATTTTTCTGCTGGAAATTTTCTGGATTTTTTAAGGAGTTAACCGTCGAGGATCGTCTGCAAATAAGGCGAAAAGCACGGGATAAGATTCTTGGTCGCCCTTTGCAACAGGTGGCGCTTCACGTGCTTAAGAAGGTGGTATACTATTTAAGAAACAACCTCTTCTATTGACAGTGGCTTAGAAAAACAGAGAAACAATTATTCGTGTTAGAAATATTTCCGTTAAGAAATGGCGACGATAGAAAATAAATTACGGCTTTCTCAGTTCTTGAATTTGTTTTATATCACTCCCCAAATACGTGTAACGCAGTGGTTGGAGTTACCCTGTAACACATGAATGGTCTTTGGTACAATGCTTTTCCGCTGCGGGTTCAATAAACCTATCCTTCCAGGGTCGCTAAATTTGTACCACACTTATGTAGGAGGATCGTAGCACTGACTTAGTCATCGGGGTCACGGGCCACCACGTCATTGCATAGGCCAGACATGTATTCAGTCACCTTTAACAATGAATGATGAAGTCGAGTGCATGGCGCATCCCTTAGGAATTGGTCAACGCCGGGAACGTCTTTATCGTTCTTATCCTTTTATTGTTCAACAGCATAACCATTTGACTTTTCGTAAATCTTGGTCTGGTTTCAGTTTGGATTCACTGGTTTATATTGGGGTCGTTGATCACTGCTGTCAACGATCTTTGCCAACGTGTCTAAGGCTAAATCGTCACTAGTCTAATGTGATAACAGGAAAACGATAGCAGTAGCATCAATTATTTCAAAATGTTTGAAGAGAAGAAATAAAGCGTCCGATGTTGACCTGCTCTCTGGGGATGCAATTTGCACTTTAGTCCACTAATTATCTTACAGATGTTATACCTTTTTATTTTCTGCCTACTATAATTTCGCGGCAGGATACTAAGCGAAATACAACCACAACGTTGCTGAGATATTTGCAAAACTCTGGACCGCAGGTGTCTATGGTGGGGAACGAACGGGCTATTGTCCTTTCCGAGGAGTAACGC